GGCTGCATCCTAGCCTCTTAAAGCAAAACAAATAAGTTAAGAAATAGGGTCATGTGTCGCAGCATGTGGTATAAAGTCACGAGTTATGTTTTTGTGCCATGCGCCGTGGCGTACATAACAAATTTTCCTTGTCATGATATTTCACAGTGGTTAACTTCTGACATGATGTTTCCACATCCAAAGTCTGATCGAAGTAATTCTAAGCCCCTGCAAAGTTTATGTGACAAGCTATCTAATGAGATAAGTTTGGACACTATCTAATGATCTAATCTTAATTTGGACACTTGGGGTGAAAAAGCCACTTTTAATAAAATTTTAAGCACCCAATGTGTTCAAACTTCACACGTTATCTCATTAGATCACTTTGGGCCTTGAGCTAAGATCTAAGGGACTAATTTCACTTAATTGAACAATCATATCATCATAATCTTAAGTACATATTCATTTGGCCAATATATTGCCCTTTTTACATATAATAAGGCCTTTTTTGATAAATTCTCATTTCACAATATTTTTGGCCAAATTCTCCATATATTCACCACCCTTATATAGACATATTATCACATAAATTGGCTAAGATTCACAAAATCATCACATGTCACATCAAAACATGCATATGCATCCTATGTCAACTTAATTCTTTTAAGTTTACAATAAAGCAAATTCATGACACAAGCTCTTTGGTCGCACGATAGTAGCAACCCTACGCTGATCCTTAATCTTTTCCTTTGCCTTACTCATTGTCAGGACTTGAAAAATGTAAACACGGGGTGAGATAATAATCTCAATAACTAAATAACTCACTATCATCAATTAACGTGCATAACCATAAATGAGTAAGGCTTATATATACATAGGTGTATCCATTTAAACATACTTCCTTTTCATAAAAACCATTGTCACAAAATTATTTTCACCTTCATGATCATCTACCATCGGATCCTTTATATCACTCTGATTGAAACCATAGACTTTACTTGGCCAATTATACTCTCATTGACTTGAGCACACCTTCAGTGGTAGAATCACTTGGTTAAAGGTATTCTGTCCCACTTTCAAACTATAATTTCCCCCTATTGCATACAATTAAGGCATCGTTACTCCAACACTATATCACATAGATGCTCAAGAGCATAAATCTTTAACACCACACTTACAAGGGTAGTGAAAGACCATATGTCATATATTTTCCTGAGTGTCCAATGGGGTATGGCATTGGAGATTCTCTCTTGAGTGCCTATAAGGATATGGTGTTGGAGATTTGTGCTCTTGAACATTTAAGATACAATGTTGGAGTAATGACACCCTGATTGTGTGTGTAATAGGGAAAATCATAGTTCAAAAGTAGGATAGAATACCTTTAGTTGAGTGATTATACCATTGAACGTGTGCTTGGATCAATGTATGATTGGTTCAATAGACCCTTTAGTTTCACTCAAGGTAATATAGAGGCTCAAATGGTAAAAGGATCACGCTAGTATATGAAAATGATTTTGTAAAATGGAAATGTGTTTGTATGGATATTTATATGTCTTTATTTATATATAAGTTTTACTTATTTATGGTTATGTGTATTAATTGATAATTGTGAGTTATTCTGTTACTAAGATATTTATCTCATCCTGTGGTTTTATTTTTACAAGTTTTGATTATGAGTAAGGCAAAGGAAAAGATTTAGGAAAGGTGTAGTAGTATTACAACTGTGCTATTAGAGTTTGTGTAATAAATTTGTATTGTGAATTACTAATGTTGTAAGTTACCATAGGATGCGATAGCATAATATAATATGCTTGGGTGGTTGTTTTGTGTATCTTAGCCTGGTGTGCATAAATGTGGTGAACAATGACATAGATGGCTAAGATAGTAGTATATGTGGGTTGAGTGGGTGTAGGTGGCAAATGTGAGAGAAATTGATCGGATTTGTGAATATATGTGGAATTTTGAAACATAGGCCTTATTGTGTGTAAAAGGGTAGTTTGATGGCCAAGTTTGTGTGATTTTGGTGATATTATTGTTTAATTAGGTGTATAATGTCCCATTAGATGTGATTAAGCTGTCAAAAGTAGCTAATGACATGTGATTAGTTCTGGGATACTTGGGTTGGGTGAAAATGATAAAAAGTGATCATTTTGCATTTGGGTGTCTAATTTTCAAAAGAAAACATTAGATTGAAACAAAACCCATGTCATTAATTAGCTTGTCCAATAAGCTTCATGTGGATGCTTGAATTACTCTAATTGAATTTCATATGAAGAAATGGCATATGTTGGAAGTTCATATCAATGAGCTATCACTAACAACAAAATCTGATACATGCATTGCAGTGCATGGTATATATGTCATGGTGCATGACATAGAGTAAGCCATTTTGGCTCTGTGTCACACGCTACGGTGCATGTGGCCAGTTTTAGAAAACGTTGTTTTGCTTTTATAAGCACCTTGCAGGGCACTTATGTAGCTTATAGGCTTCCGCCGAGTAAATATATGTACTTTTGAAAGATTTTAAATGATTTTAAAAAGGTTTTGAGAAATATTGTTAATTATAAGTATTTAATTTCATATTGTAATAAGTGGGATTGTGGGAAATAAATGTGATAATTTGGTAATGTCGGGAAGGCATTACACTTTAAGTTGAGTTTTATTGAGGTAATCAAGAGGTTGCATTAATCTTGGTAGATTAATTAGAGAAAATCTCAAGTGTGATTTAGGGAGTGGATGAAAGTTCAAGTAGTTGAAGCTGAACTAAGATAAATAAATCATATAAGCTTCTCTTTCCTTTACTCATTTGTGTTTGGTGATTTGGTTCTAATCTTATCTTCTTTTAATTTGCATCATTTGTTTAATTTTTAATCAGCCCAATTCACATTCTCTCTTAAGTAGTTTTGCATACATCAGATATCTTCTTTCTTTTTCCCCCCTTATATTTCTTGTTTAGCTTCTAATTCCCTCTCCCTAACTTAGAATTCCTTGTTCCCACACTAAGATTTTACTTTTTTAATTTATTATCTATATTTTAATTTTTTTAATATAATTTTCCTTATATTTAAAAAATTAATTATAAAAATAAAAGTGAAGTTTTTGAAAAAAATAATTATAAAAATAAAAGTATTGTTTTTGACCTAGAAAAACCTAAGGCAAATAATAAAAAAAAAGTCATTTGTTTATTCAGACTTACATAAATTTAAGGGTTAAAGTATGTTTTTAGTCCTTTAACTTTATATACAGTTTCAATTTGATCCTTTTATTTTATGAAGTATCTTTTTAATCCCTTAATTTTAACATTGTTTGTTTCAAATAATTATTTTTTGTGTCAATCATTATTATTTTAAAAAAATTAAACTTAATATGTCAATAGTTGAGATTATTTGTCAATATTTAAAAGTTCATTGTAAAAATTTGTTACGATAAAACTAATAGTGTTATGGTTAAATTATTAAAAAAATATTTTATAAAATTAAGAGACTAAAATAAAACATTATATAAATTTAAAGAATTAAATGTATATTTTAGCCTAAAGTTAAAGAACAGTTACAAATAAAAATTTCAATTGCATATTAAGACTTAAGAGTTCTATTTAGAATTAAAATATAAGAAAATGACAATAGAATACTTTTGAAATATATAAATGATAATATGTAACATAAAATGTAATAATTATTTTTTAACCCCCTGAGGCTTGTCTAACATTTTGACTTTTTGTGAAATGACATATTTATCCCATCCCCTTCCATCTCTTATTCACTGCGGCTTCACTTGCATCTTAAAAAAAAAAAAATCTAGCCAACAAGAGGAGAAAGAAGATCTTTCTAAATTTTTCTTGTTCCATCAATTCCACCAATTGTTTGAACTCTAGCTAGGATCTTATCCTAATTATTTTCTTCAAATACCCTACATACACTTGCAACCCTTACTTCTCAAGACTGATTCAAACTGTAATCAACTTTGAAGGCACCCTTAATTTCAATTCATCTCTAGGAAACAAAAGAAAATTGTACCTGCACCATATCCATTAGGTCAATTTTTTATCCCCCCTTTCATTTTATAAGCATCGGCCAAAAAAGAAACTCTATTATCACCATTGATAAATAAGTACTGCATTTTGAATCTCATGGATATATAAGTACTTCATTTTGAATTTTGTCCAATATAAATAATTTCTTTCAATGTGATCTCTCATTTGTTCAAAGAGAAGGGGCTGCGAAATACCCACGAATTAGCGATTAAGTTATTGGAATCGGTGATTGAAAGTGGCCAAATAGTAAATTGAAGAAGTTGAAATTGCTTGGTGGAGTGCTTAGCCTTGCAATAGATAGTTTTTGCCATGTCAAAGGGAAGTACATGATGACACAAAAAAGCCGATAAGGAGCCTCTTTTCTCCATGATCCTTGTAGTTTGCATAGAGGAAGAGGACAACAGAGAAGCCATGATGAGAGAAAGAGGGGGAACGGGGTAAATATATCATTTTACAAAAATTAAAATGCTAAACAAGTTCCGAAAGATTAGATAATAATTATCATATTTTATTATAACTATTTGTTATTTGTATATTTTGACAGTTTTTTATTCTCATTTTTCCTTAAAATATTTTATTTGTAATTAATTTCAATTTCATTTGATACCAATTTTTTTTTGGGTACATCAGTACCAAAATTTTTATTATCTCTAGAACAATTTATCAAGTAGTTTTTTATTTTTTAAAATAAAAAATTATTCCTAAAATTAGATTTTAATTTTTTAAAAAATTATATATAAGTCTCACAGATGAAAACTTATCATAAAAAAATCTCATGAAATTAATAAAAATAACTCTTAAATATTAAATTTTATATATTTACAACTTGATAAATGACATTTACTTTTATAAAACTTAAAATTTGAGAGTATTTTATAAATTTTATGAGATTTTTTTATAATAAATTATTTTCTGTAGGACTAGGTATATAATTTTCTATTTAATTTTTAAACACGCCATTAAGTTTTAATTCTGCTCAAACCTAGTCACTACTTACTAGTCGGCCGTCGCTCAGCAGGGCAGACCCGCCTCAGTATCTCGGCCTTCGTCTCTATTCAGTCTATATTCATTCACAGCCTTCGTCTGTCCCACTCCCACATAACTCATCCACGGCTTTGTCTAGCACTCCATTATCTCTCTGTGCTGGCGATTTGTATCTAGAAAGGCAGAACTTTTGCATAGTCTCAGTCTCTTGTGATTCATAGGTAGGCAGAAATCTCCATTGGATCTTCGATTGTGTTCGTGTGATGGCATAATCTCAGTCTCTGTTTTTGTTGCTTGCTTCCTGTCCGCCTGCTGCTGTTAGACTATATTGTATTTTTAGGCTTAATCGGTTTCACTATGTGTTCTGTTCTTCAAGATTTATGTTTATGTCGACTATATTATATTTTGGTGCTACACTTATTCATCCAATAAGTGAATAGAGTGTATTGCTTTGGAGGTTCCTCTTTAAAAAGGAAACTTCAATAAAGATTGGAGCTGTGGTTGCTTTATTTTGTGTGCCCAGAAAGGTTGCGTTATTTTTACACTTCAAACCTGGTTATTGATGAATTAGTAGAAGCTTGAAATTTCAAGTTCTAGGCCTTCAAAGCCACCGTCATAGGCTCAGCATATTTGGCTTGTTCCCATCTCTAGTGATAACCCTAGGGAAACTGCTCCCCTCTCCTCCCCTCATTTGGTTAAGAAATTTTGGAAGGGAGGGGAGCCAAAATTTCCCCTCCTGTCATATTGGTCCCTCCAAATTGGGGTGATTTTGGAGGGGAGCCAAATTTCTTGATTTTGTTATATTCCATACTTGCCCATTAATTGAAACTTAAAAAAGAAAAAAAAAAAAGGATCGACCTTCACTTCCAAAACTCTCCCTCTTCGGTGCTTATTATCAGGCGTTTTCTCTCCTTTATTCTTCTCTATTCTGGTTCAATCGAACGTAGTTGTGCTTCAAATTTGGAAGCTTAGTTGGTATTGATGTTCCTCTGTGTATTGAGTTTAATGAATAAAGTTTTTGTGATTTTGGGAGCCCATTATCACGGTCAATTTTGCTGGCCATTGGAACTGAAAACGCTTGCCTCTGTCACTTATTAGTGCCTGTTTCGTGTATTTTTCTATACCTGTTACCGAATCTTGACCTGAAATCTTGTACGCAAGCTTCCCTTTAAGTCTGGTTTGAGGCAGAAATTTTTCATGATTTTTAGATTATTTTTGCCTAGTTAAGTATGCTAATTTTTAAGAGCTGTTTGAGAAGCATTCCGTTTTCCTGACAGCTCACTTTGTTGCAGTCTAATTCGTGTATTTTTAAGTGCTGACAGAGAAGTGATCTTAATATGAAATTCTGTATCCATGATTCTCTGTAACTGTTGTTTGACACATAAAATTCTTGTGGTTTTTTGATCTCATTTACCTAGTTGATTACTTTGGTTTCTGAGAGTCAGTCAACAAGCTTGGTGTCAATTTTACAGCTTAAATGGTTGATTTTTCTCTTTATGTACAGAGGTACTCTTGGGCTGAAATTTTGCATCCATATTTCTCTTCATGTGCCATTTGATGTGTAACATTTTCAAGATTTTTAGAGTTCATTTATAGAGTCAAATACAATAATTTTCGGATGAGGGACAGCATAACAAGAATATTCGTGATTAACCAATATCGTGAGAGAAACTTAAAATTTCCTCAGGCATTAACATCTATGGCCATGAGTGACAATAAGTCTCCTTAAGCACATTGAATTTTATTTAAAATAAATTTTCAAAAAATAAAATTATATTAAAATGAGGAAATGATAAAATAAAATATTTGGTAGATAACTAAGATGCCATATCATGAGAGAAACTTGAAATCTTTGTGGGCATTAAGATCAATTGTTTGGCCACGAGTGACAATAAGTCTTCATAGGCATGTTAAATCCTTTTTTTTTTTAATTTCTTTTCTATATTGATAAAATGAATCTCCAAAAATAAGAGAAAATATATTAGTTCATATTTAAAAAAAAAAACAGTTTCCAAAATTAATATAAAACAACCAAAACATTTTTCAAAATCTAAAATGTGAGTAAGAAAGTGAAGCGAAATTATCTTTGCAAATTAGAATACACCAATCAACATTTCAAAAAATTTTGTTTGCAACTAATAAATTATTTTCATTTAACTTTTTCTTTTCATCAAATTCATAAATTAAAAACCACTAATCTAGTGAAACTCATTTCTATTCTAAACTACATGGACTTTGATCCTTGTAATAGGGTACGTAGGCCTCATGCGTTAATTTCAAGTCAAGTTCCCTTGTAACTAAATAAACGTTTTCACCTCGTTAATTATTTTTTCTTTTGTTATTTTCACTTTATATGCAATTAAATGGAAATTAAGATAAATTCTAAGGCTATATGATTGTTGTTCAGTAACCTTAAGGTAACTATTCTCACAGACGGGTGCTATGGGGTGTCTAACACCTTCCTCACGTATAATCAACTCTTGAAGTCATTTTGTTTTCACAGACTATCCTTTCCATTTTCTTTTAGAAAGGTTTTCCAAGATTTTTTCTTAAAATTTTGGCGGCGACTCCTTTAAAGTGGTTTTCGTTTCAAAGGCTGAATCTTTGCTTTTGTGTGCTGTTTGCATCGCATTTTCAGATGTGACACTTCCTTTGGTGGTGTTATTGGACGCCACTTTGTTTTTCTTTCTCAGCTTATGGCTTTCACAATATATTTTTACTATCTCATGTAACTTATAAGTTGAATCATATATTTTTGCTTTATGGGTCTGTTTTTATTTATAAGAAAGATTGATTCCTCTTTCAATGATTTGCTTTATAGTATTAGCTTTAGCTTTATTGTACTGTATTATTTTTATGAGAAAATTATTTGCATATAATGTAAAGATTTGCTTTAAAAGAATGATGTTTCCATTCAAAGATTAGAGCATCCTATGAATGATGCTTGTTGCTAATAATCATTCTTTAATTATCTATTAAAATCCCTCCCCCCTTCATTGAACCACACATCCCTGGGAAGAATGGCCTTATGCTTGAACTCCTGGTGCTTTTGTTGGATATGATTGTTTGCAGTGACAGATCCAGAAAATTTTAGTAATGGGGGCAATATTTATGCCAAATATAAATATTAATATTTTTTAAAAAATATAATTCTAAATATTACTTAAAATAATATATAAATAAATTATATAAGAAGTTTAAAATATATCTTAATTTCAGTTATATCATAAAATTATTTTTATAATAAATACAATAATAAATAATATTTTTAAATATGTGTGTTTTATAATTTTTAAAATTGTGGGACAATTAATTTTTCATGGGGGGGCAACTGCAATTTTTAAGTGGGGGCAAATGTAATTTTTACCAAAAAAAAAAAAAGTTTATCTTTTGCAAATTTCCTCGGGGCAACTGCCCCCACTTTCTATAACATGGATACGTCCCTGATTGTTTCACACTCCAAGTGTTTTGCTTTATGATTTCCTGTTTGGTTTTCTGCTTTGTGATCTTCTGTTTGGCATATCTTGTGGTTGAATATTCCTGCATTGGTTCATGTGCTCAAGTCAAAATATTGATTTTTGGTGGAGGCGAATCCATCTTATTGTTGCAAATTAAAGTCAACATTATTGTTATTGTCCACTTGATAGAAGAGATTCCTAGTCCTTGCTTTTTCAGTTTGTGTCTTTCTGGTTTCTGGCCTCTTTTTTTCTTTCAGAGTGGTTCCCATCTATTTATGCTCAATTAGAGCTTTTGGGCACAAAATGATGAGGATTTGGACTAATTTTCTGTGCTAAATTTAGTTGGGGTTTTGATCGTTTCCTTATTTGATTGTTTCAATTACTATCTCTAAGTCTATTTCTTTATTCAGCTGCCTTTATTAATGTGGGTTTTCATCTGTTATACAGTCCATGGCTAAAGAAACCCAGCTCCTAGAATCTGGAGGAGGCTTAAGAAAGAGGCAGTTTCTTAAAGGGCATAATCATAAGAAGTCAAACAAAAAACCAAAATTGATGCCAGTACCCCAGGCGCAGAAGAAAGTTAAAATGGACAAGAAAATGAAGAAACTTATCCGCAAGCGAGCACGGGAGTATAATTCAGACGATGATGGAGCTGGTGGTGATATTCAACCAGGAATTACTGATAAAGATATTGAAGAGGAAGATAAAGAAAGTGATGAATCCTCTGATGATGAGGAAGCAAGAGGACAAGATGCTTGGAACTCAACTGTGAGTGATATGAATAATGATGTTTCTGAGGATGAAGGAGAAGATGTTGAGATTCAGCCAGGAATTACAAAATTTACCGAAGGTTGTAGAGCATTCAAGATGGCCTTCAGGAGTATTATGAAGAAGAGTGTTTCTGAGGACTCATTGGTAAGATAGGTGCCTGTTTATCAGGAATGTACAAAGAATGAAATTGGTTTCCTTATATGTTCATAGCTTTGTAGGGTCCAGTATTATCAGGGCACAAAAAACTTATTGCAGACAAGCTTGCTGAAGAGGAGGCCGAACGCCATGCCAACAGAGAGGCAAAGAAAGAAAAGAAGATGGTAATGTCTTATTTTAATTTCGCTGTTTTGTTTGTTATTCCAACTAGCCTGTATTTTGAGAACATACTTTTACGTGTGTTGTTGACAAATTTATATATGTATTTAGTTTTGCATGTCCAATGGTGTCCCCAGCTGGTAATCAGACTGATTACTGATGTTAATGTTACAGTTGGCAGAAAAAGGGCATGTCAAACCTGCTAATTATTTGGATTCACATGAAAAGTTTCTATTAAGTATTGCCACAAAAGGAGGTATTTTAGTTCGGTTCTCTCGCAAATAGAGGTCTACTTTTATGGTCTATACAATTTTCCTCATACTGACTTGGACTAATGTCGTGGCCAATCATCATGCTGGATTGCTTTCAGTGGTTAAGTTGTTCAATGCTGTAAGTATTTGATTGGCATTTAAATTTCCTTTGGTAGTTTTCCCCTCTTTTTGGTGATTTATTTTTTTTTTTCATGACTAAACTGCTCTTTTGCAGGTCAACAAGGCACAAACTGCTCAGAAAGGGTTGAATCCTTTAAGGAGTAAAGATGCAAAAGGTATGCTGTTATTGCTAAAGCTGACTAGCAAAGAGGAGAGAAGTTGAAATATATGACTTTCATACATTTGCAGCTTTGAATAGTCAGAAATAGAAGTAAATTAGCTTTGGGGGATTAATTATTTCAATTTACAATTCCACTAGTTCTATATTAGCGCAGCCTAATTGCTGACCGATTTTTGTTTATTATCCAAGCCTTTTATTTACATGCCCTCAATAACTCATTTGAAAATTCTTGATACCTTGGAATTTTTTGTTTAGGAACTATTAACACCTTGGAACATTTCCTGTCTTTCTGACTTCTCTTTGCCACTCAGCCAATGGGTTCTTTTAGGGGAACCACTATTTCTGATGGGCAAATGAATTGCTCAGCTATTCAGTTACTAGTTTTCAAGGGCTTTTTTTTGGTCTATCCTCATATTGTCTTGTTTATGAGATCTTCTACTCTAACAAACTGTACTTCTTTATGTTGGATAAACATTATACACTCATCCATTTGAAACCAATATTTAAATATTGAAGATTATCTTGCCCCTCATAATGAATTAGCTTTCTGAGGAATATATGATAGCCATTTGCTAACCAAAAGAATGCTAGTACACTAACTTTCCAGAACCCCAGCCTCCTTCCGATCCTGGTCTACAGCCAACTTCACATCCTACAAGATCCCTAATACAAGAAACAGAAAAGAAGGTGGAAGAGAGATAGAGAAATAGAGAAGAATTGAAAGAGAAAGAGAGAGAAACAGAAGAGATAGAGAAAACCAGAAGGAGAGAGAAAACGTGTCTGATCAATGTACTTTCATTATGTCAATGGGCTGATTACAAGTGGGGAAGCGTTCTTCTATTTATAGGACTCTAGGAGATGTTGGGTAGAACAATTATAAGACCTAACTACCCTCAACAGTCAATAACTACCTATATGACACATACATTTGTTATCTTCGTATCAATACCCCTTTCTAACAGCCCTTGTCCTCAAGGGTTGGGAACTGGAAAATCTGGAAACTGCTTCTGGAAATCAAATTGGGACATCCAAGTAGCTTCTTCATTGGGTTTACCCTTCCACTGAGCCAAAATCTCAGTAATTACTCTTCCTTTTCGCCTTCCAATCCTTTTATTTAGAACTGATTCAGGAATGAGAGTTGCTGGTGCTTCTGGCCAATTCTCAGGTGGATGTCTCTGTTTAACAGAGGGATCAAGGCATAATTTTAGTAGAGACAAATGAAAAGTTGAATGAATCCTGGATTCAGGAGGTAACTCTAGCTTGCAGGCAACATTTCCTATCCTTTCAAGTACCCTATATGGCCCAAAATACCATGGTGCCAATTCCTGAGCGCTTTATTGGACTGCTGAAACCTGCCTGTATGGTTGAAGCTTCAAAAATACCCACTGACCAACTTCAACTTCACGATCAGGTCTCTTTAGGTTTGCTTTTTGCTTCATACCATTTGCTGCCCTATTCAAATGATGCTTCAAAACATTAATCATGTATTCTCTTGCTGTAAAACTCCTATCAACAGCTTCAACTATTGCTTCTTTAGGTAGATAAGGAGCATAGATCAGTGGGTTCTGATCATAAATTAGCTCACAAGGTGTTGCTTTGGTTGAAGTTTGGAAGGTTGTGTTGTAACACCACTCAGCCAATGGTGCTCCATTCTTTAGAATTCTTCCAACTCATTACATCTTAGTTATGTTTCTAAACAATATTCAACACCTCAGATTGCCCTTCAGTTTGGCGATCGTAAGAAGAAATGAGTTTCTGCTCTACTTTGATCATCCTTAAGAATTCCTTCCAGCAGTTGCTTATGAAAATTGGATCCTGATCACTGATAATCTCTCTAGGGACACCATGTAATCTGTAAATTTGACCCAAAAAACACTCAGCTAAAGTAGCTGCTGAAAATGGAAGAGAAAGACCCAAAAAATGGCCATATTTGCTCATTCTATCCACTACTACCCAAATCACTTCCTTCACTCCGGATTTAGGCAAACCTTCAATGAAATCCATAGTGACACTTTCCCAAACTTTATTAGGGAGGCTGTAATAATCCTGGAGTTTTTGCTGTTTCATACTTAAAGCAAGCACTTGTGTCACATCCTTTCACAAAATCTTGCACATATTTGTGCATCTTCTTCCACCAGAATAGCCCTTCAGTGTAGGCACCTACTAGGATATTCCTGAGAGAGCCATAGTTTGCAAGAAATCATATGAAAGGCATCATTAAATTCTGCCAGAGATCCCTTTTGGCGTAACCTCATCAGATCACCAATAGGAGTTTCATATGATGGGCCATTTCTATCTTTAATAGCTTCTACATACTGTGTCCAGTCTGATTCATAGCCTATCCTCGTTTTCTCATAGGCCATATGCCATTGGAGGGCCTTATCATGATGGATGCTAGCCATCGTTACCTTGGATGGATTCCTCAGGTGTATCATCAAGCTCAAAACCTCTCACATCGTAGGATCCACCCGAGAACATCATTTCTTGAAAACTTTGGGACGCCTATAGTCATCTCTGTTTCTTGTTTCTTCATAGTCTCGATTTCTGTGATGACCATTTCTGCCCTTGCACCCACCTCCTCTTCCATGGTTGGAGGACCCTTCCTCTTTTTCTCGCATCATTAGCTGAATCTGATTTGACAGACCCTCTACTTGGTCACTAAGTGCATCTATTGCATCTAATCTTGCAAGAAGTTGTTCAATCTTTGCAAGACGTGCTTCCATTGCTTTTTGAGTTTGTGAGCGAGTTTCTATCACCATACTCTTTCTTGAAGAAATCAGAGGTGTTTGCCAAGAACAGCCTGGCTTTAGATACCCACTGATACAAGAAACAGAAAAGAAGGTAGAAGAGAGATAGAGAAATAGGGAAGAATTGAGAAAGAAATAGAGAGAAACAGAAGAGAGATAGAAAACCAGAGAGAACACGAGTCTGATCAATGTCCTTTCATCATGTCAACAGGCTGATTACAGGTGGGGAAGCGACCTAGTATTTATAGGACTCTTGGAGACGTTGGATAAAACAATTAAAAGACAACTAAATGACCTAATTACCCTCAACAGTCATTAACTACCTAAATGACATATACATTTATTATTTTCGCATCAATCCCTTCTCATCTCGCCAAGGAAAATCTTGAATTATTCCAAGGATAAAATCTCAAATTATTCCAGGGCTAAAATGTTTATCAACAGTCCCTTCAGGGACATCCGATAAAATGTTGACAAGGCATACCAACTTGATGATCATATGACCAAGGAAGTCTTACTACTAGGTCACTATATCATTGCAATTAGAGTCCGATATTCAAGGGTTTTCATGTAGAGGTCAAGTCCACGGAGCCTAATATATGATAAAGTTAAAAAGGGCATGAGACGAGCATTAAACATCAATTTAATGTATGACATTTTGATTTCTTTACTTCAATTATTTTATGGTATTGGTCAATTTATTTTGCTCCATCATCTACATACAATGGTATGGGAATTGGTTCGCGAACAAGTGTTATTATTTTTCTTATTTAATGAAAACAAATATTTTTCTGCTCAATAAACAAGAGTTTGTTTTGGTGAGAGTTAATAATGCAAGAATGTGTCATGTGTAACCGCCAGTGGTGGTTACATTCACATTACATATGCATGAAAGTCTTCTACTGTACGGAAACTCTGTCCAGTTCTCAGTTGCTTCCAGTGTTTGGCTTGGTGAAAAATTGGAAATTATCATCATCATTATTAATGATTCATTAGAAGCAAATGATCATCCAACCAATGCCTGACGATCTCTGCACAATTCTAACCTGATTATGTCATTTGCCAGAAATAAGAAATCGGACCAAAGAAGCGTTTTTTTCAGAGCTAGGCAAGCCATTGTCTGCAACAAGCACATCTGGAAAGGTCATTTCTTTTACTTAGCACCAGTTTACCATGACACTTGTTCGGTCTATAAAAGAAGTTTTCAAACTCCAGTTTCACTTTGTAATAATATTTATTGTTCATAATAAACTCTGGTAATTCAGAGAGTGAGTTCGGAAGCCAACTTGTTGGAGGTAGCGGTAGCTTCCTTCTGTTTACTGAATTATCTAACTAGCTGGATTATTGATATGCAGGTTCAAGCGAGCACAGAAAAACTGGAAGTTGAAGAGCCTGCTTGGGCTCCATTGCGAGATAATTACATGCTGACAAATTCAAGATTGAAAGATTGGGACAAAGCTTCTGTAAGACCTTACATAAGAAACAGATATTTGTATTATTTGCAAGCTAAAATATACAAAACTTTCCTGAATTTTGAAGCAGTTGCACATAACCTTCCACCACAGTTAAAAATTTAAGATTAGCATTAACTTTTTATTTTTATTACCACAGACTCCTCTACTATTATTTTTTAGTTATCTTTCTAGCAGAAGTTATCATGTCATATTAAGAAAAAGACATGTAACAGCTCATGCATGTGCATCTGATGGCAGCTAATAATTATATAAAACAATATGGATAACTTTTTTTTTTTTTTTTAATAAAGCTGTTATTAACTTACATTGGGTGCTACATAAGCTGCTACGTGTTTTGTTAATGTGACATGGCAACTTTTGTTTGTTAGATAATTAAGAAATAACAGTAAATTCGTGGTAAAAAAAAAAAAAGGTTAGAGAGGTTAATTTTAAACTTTTAAATGTAAAGAGAGTTTTTGTGTAACTGCCCCAAAATTCAGAGAGTTGTGTATTTTAACCTTATTTGCAAGATGATCTCTTCTCTTCTCTTTAGTCTTCACGTGGATGTATTATAATAATCTTTTACTGAGATCCTTTTTGTTTTAATAGAAATTGATTTTCCTTGAAAAAACAAAGATACTGATATCCGTAGTTACGCTAAATGTTAACTCCTACTCATTTATCTTTTTGCTGGCATGTAGGAAAAAGTTGCATCAGATGACATTGGGAAAATGTCCGAAGATAGCAGTTCTGATGAAGATTAGTTTTGAACTTGACTGAAACACTTCAGTGAGATAGTCTCAATGGGTATTTTGTCGGCATTTGAAAATTTTATCAGTTCAACATTATAATTGGCATGATTTTTACCCATCAATTTTGTAATTAGATGCCATGTGTATTTTATCTTGAGAAGGGATGGAGTTGCATTTTAGGTCTATACTAATTTGCAAGGTTTTAAAAACCAACAGGACCATAAAAATTTAAGAGGTGATAGTTTAAAGCAGTGTTTTTAAAACCGGATCGGACGGTCGGACTGGTTCAACCATCGTCCGGTTCGACCGTCGACCTGTTTGGATTTCGATTTGGTTCATATAAGAAAATTGTTTTAGGGGTTGAGTTGGGTTGGGCCGTTTCAAACTGGCGGTTAAACCGAAAATCGGAATTAAGCTGAGAATCGAATCTGGTATTCAAAAACTAGACTATGCAAAAAAAAAAAATTGATAAAATTTTTTTAGAAAATGAGTAATTTTTTTAATCATTTGATATTATGTGGCTTGTTAAGTTATGATAAACTTAAAATATTTAGTTTTTTAAAGTTAAGTAGCAAATTCATATATATTTTTTATATTTAGATTATTATATATATATATATATATAATTTTTTAATTTAATTATTATGTCATCGGTTTGACCATTGGTCTAACCCGGTTGAACCATGCAAATCATGAATTACTGACCTTTTCGGTTCAATATTCGGTTCAGTTCTAAGGTTAATGATCCAATCATGATTGACTCATGGTTGGATTGGTGGTGATTAATTTATTTCTAAATTTATATATTAAATATAATATTAGATGTATTATTTATAAAATATTACAAAATTAAATTTCTAGATTGAGTTCAAATATTTTTTTTTGTTTTATTATTAAATATTATTTTATTGGTTTATAAAAAGAAATTAGAAGGTAATTATGTGAGATGTTTTCTTCAACTTAGCAAAAAATTATCATGGATATTAAAAAATATAATTTAAAATTAATAAATGTTTCATAATTTAAAAAATGAGAAAATAATTATAAGATGTAATATCCATATAATGAATATAGACATATTTCTGTATATTTTTTATTATTTTCTTTGGTGCTTATAATGTATGAAAATGTGTAAATTGAAAAACATTAGAATAAAAAATTTGAATTGATTTATTGGTTTTTGTGGATTGGTTGTAATTGGTATCTAGTTCTATCCCTAAAATTGAATATAACATCAAACTGGCGTTTCAATTGAACACTTGTTGGTTTGATCTAGTTGTTAAAACTTTGTAATTTGTACTTTCAATTTAACTTTTTTTTTTTTAAACTTGTGATTAATTTGTTTGACGATTGATTATTGCAAATAGTCTTTCATAGTCTACTTTAGTTAGGGCCATTGAATTTTAATGGATCAATGAATGTTATCCAATGGACATGAGCTGTTTCAAGTCCATGCAGATTGTACGACCTTTGCCATCTAAAATGGATAATTATTGTAGGCTTGCCCTTGTTTATGTCACATTACTTTTTTGTCTTCTTTTTTTTTTTGGTTATTATTTTAATTTGTTTGCTAGGTACACCTCGTTTTTGGGAAAAATAAAAATGTTTGTCTTACCGTGTCTAGTTAAAATTATAGCAGTTTTTTTGTACCCAAAAAAATTGGGAGAGTTACATTCAGGTATTACATAAAGAAATTAATTATTATATATCAATGATCATAGTTTAGTTATCAATAGATGTTGTAGTAATTAATTTTCTTTTGTAAAACTTCAATATAATTCTCCAAAAAAAATTATAGTAGTTTATAATCACAAATGAGTATTTGTTAATAAAATAAAAGGTTCAATAACATTTTTATCTTTAACATATCTCATGAGAGGTAATTGGTATATTAAAGATCACATAATCTTATCAAAAAGAAAAAGATCACACAATCTTTTGTGTGTGTGTTTAAGTGAGTTGAGTTTGGAAAGCTTATCAAGGTTAGAACATGCTTTCAAACTTAAAAACACTTGTAGAAGTATTTGTAAATTGCTCATTAATTTTACAATTAATAACTATAGTGTCACCCTTAGTACATGTGTTGGTGATACAGATTCAGCCAATTTAAATCACCATATAATGATTGAAACATTTAATTGCAATTATAAAAAGGAGAAACCATAATAGAAAGGAAAAGACTAGTTCAAAGATTTGTTATAGTTAAATTATTTGAAACCAATCAATTTTATAATTTATATCACACTAATATGGTAGAATAAATTCTACCATAATATAATAGTTCAAAAGCAAGTAAAGTAATTCCATTGAAAACCCAAATAATCAAAACAACTCAAAACATAATAGTAATAAATATGGGATTCCAAGTTTGACATTTGAAATTCTTTAGATCCAAGCAAGACAGTTTTATATTAGTATTATAAAATATACAAAAGCATGGGAAATCACTGAGACATGATAACATTTGAAAATAAGTTAGAAAAGTCATTTTATCACAAGACAAGTAGTCCGTCGTGACAAAGGGACAATGCACCATGGCCAACCACTCTTAGTGCCATGTGTGTCTGTGCATTGTATAGAAATGATAACAGGTCAAATTTTCAAACCAGGGGCCAAACTTCTTATACACCCCAAATTTCCATTTGACATCAAACCAGGGGCCAAAATTTTGATGCACCCCAAATCTCCATTTGATATTTAATTGAGGTGATTTAGGTATCTATAGAAAACTTATTCATTGAATTAGCTAAGGGCACTGGTTTTATTTCCAAATTCTTCCATACCAAAGAGTTAGACACCTAAACCCAAACTAGTCACATTTTCAAAACTAGGGTGTCCAAAAACCAACCACAGTGCCAAAAGCTCAACCCAACACCTAAACTGCACTCAAAGGACTTAAGACAATCTATGCAACATGCAACACATCAATTTGAAACCACTTATACCTCAAAATCAACCCTAAACCTCAAGATTTCACATTAGCAACAAGGAGGAGGTTTCTATATCATTTCTCAAAGTAATCATCCAATATCATCAACTTAACCAAAAGCATACTTGCACTAGTATTGTGGCTTTATACATATGATTCACTCACATACCATAAATACTAGGTCCCCAAAATACCAACAATCAAAATAAACATGTAAATGATGCAAGTATATCAAAATATAATCCTAGTTGGCAATATCAAATAATTTACACATATTTAACTCAAAATACAAGAGGCATTGTAGTAGGAAATAGAATTTCTAAGCCTCAAGTGCTCTTCCTTTATCTTGCTTAGAGCTAAGGCCTGTAGAATGTTAAATGAAGGGGGTGAGTACACCACTCAGTAACCAAGATAATCTAATTAATGCATATGTAAGTCAACCAATCATAGAAATGCAAAGTGAGCAATTAAAAAAAAACATATTCACATCTAGAATACATATTATCAAAGTTACAAATTTGTCAACCATGTGACATTTACTCCATGGAATGCATGATTAATAACCTCCTTTATAACCTCCTCATACCTCCTACTGAAACCATATGCTATTTAATCAAATAGGCTTACATCTGTGTGAATGGACTAACCCAAGCTCACTAATCATGGGGAGCAACTAGGCCAAAGGTTACTACACTCACTCTAGGACTATAGTTTCCCCCATCTAGGAATCCCTAGGGTGTTGTTAACCTTGAACTAGTCTCCTTAAAGAATAAGTGGAGATAAGCTAAATTAGAGTCCTTTGACAAATAGTGGGATAGTCCCTTGATAAATAGTAAGATGAATGACTAACCATCAATTTTTTGAATGGTGACCATACCATGTTGATTTATTGCTACCCATCTCCTAAGGTGAACTCTTGCCAATCATGATCATGTAACTTATACATACTTAATATGCATAGCATGCCATTGATCATTTCATCATGCTTAGCGCAATTAACACATCATATATCTCAATCACATCATCATAATCATATCACATAATCTCAAATTCAAGAACTACATTAACTTTCCCATTTGAGTATCACATTACCATTTAACACTTTAATCATCATAACTTTTGTCACAAACTCATTTAATCGTAAAACACTTGGAATCACTTTGACAATTAATTTCAAGAGCCACACTTGCATTTAAACATTTCTAAAATGTGAATCTTATAATCACTTCGACAATTAATTTCAAGAGCCACACTTGCATTTAAACATTTCTAAAATGTGAATCTTATCATACCAAATATGAAGATAATTTTACATGTTCAAAACAAGGTCATAAAGTTCTATAATTAATTAAACAAGCAATGCACACAAATTAGATTTCCCCTGTTACCCTAAACTTTTAAGAGATTAAAGATTACCCCACCATCAAAACTTGCTTCCTCAAATAACATTTGGCTCAAATGGTACACAATATAATTAATCTACAATTAAGAACATTAACCAACATTAACACTAACATTTACACACTTTCAATACTCTAATTTCAAAGTTTAGTCACCCAAAATCCTAACCTCTTAGGTTTACTCACATTAACTTTCATTAACTCCATTTAACTCTTATTAGCTTAAATAATATCAATTAAAACATCCAACAATCCAAAATCATCATTAAAGTGTCTAAGGTTCATCCAAAACCCAAGATCCAACCTCTTAATCTTATAAAAACTTCAAAAGTAAAGACAAAAAGCTTAAATAACTCTCATTAGTTCCATTTAGACTAATGAGTTTAGACCTATAGTCTTAGAGTCTGAAATTCATCCTCCCATAACAAACCTTAGTACAAAACTAGTTAGAAGGAAGAGGGCAGAGAGTAGAGATGATTATCTTGAAGATTAAAGCTCTAATTCTCTCCAAAATGGCATTTGAAGCTTGCCTTAGTAGAGCCAAAATTAAGCTCTTGCGTTTCCTTTCTCCCTTCTTTTTGTTTCTATCGAGTTTGAACTTCAAATTTAATAAAGATTCATTCCATGTGTTGTTGTGGATGGTACAAAGGCACTCAGGCTTGATTTTGTCCTTCCAATTGGGCTTAGGTGGCTCATTACCCATATCGGGCTTAATCCAAAGGTGGCAGACATCTTAATAAGCTTGTTAGCTATCTCTGACCATCCTTTAATAAATTAACATGTGAATTTACATAAATAACCTCTATTAACTTTCTTAATCCAAAATTTTAAAAAAATTAGGATGTTACAATCATCA